GACCCAGGCACCTTTGTATCACATCACCAGACAGGCACAGTGCCCACAATTACAACATATCTTACAGGAAACTGGGGGTCCTGTTGTCCAATTATGTTGCCAGGGCTACCCAGAACATTGGGGCCAGTGATGGGACTCAGACCCCATGTTATCAAGTCTCATTGCAGAGAGACTCCTCCTGCATTCCGGGAATCCATCCGGAAAATGGGTGCTGCTCAAAACGGCTCAGCTCCCTCCCTTTGCCTCATAGTCACTAAGGGATTATAAATGTAACTTCTTTCAAATGAAACTGGGACAAGTTATTATTTGCAGTAAAATAGCTGTATGTCCATTACTCTAAATAAATTATAACTATATATTTGAGCAGTAACCTTTTCTATCCCTGATTCGGCTCGTACTCCAGTTTTTATTAAGTTGTTTGCCATTTACTATTGGCTATTGTTGTCATGTTGTAGTGTGAGTTAGTGAGTACACTGATACTAGAAAAGGCCCAATTATCTCTCTCATATAGATAAATTGCTGGAGAGAGAATTAAAGAATATTAGTTAAACTTAAGTCCCTGTTTCTATTGCCCTGGTGGAAAAGCTTGACGGAATCATTTTGATATTAAATTGTTTTATAAGAAATCAGTAATAGTACAGATATATACATAAACAACTATAGTATAAACTTAGACATTTAATATAGAGCTTGGTTTATAACAATTATTATTCATCTTACGAAAACAAAAGCCAAGTCTATAATATATTCAAATTTTGAGATCATCACAAGAGTATGATCCAAAAAAGGAGAATAAAATTTAATTAAAATGATTGTATTCATAGAATATTTTAATGACCAGATAAGAAAAATCTAGTCCTTTATGATAATATTTTAATTCCCAGCCAGTGTCCTGATTGAAGGCTTATAAAGAAACAGATCAGTCTACCGGTAGCTTTGAGAATACAAAAGGTTCTATGAAAAATGACCAAAACAGTAGTAACACAGTAGTGTATTTGGCACTGGATGGTGAAATTTAGCCCTGTATGTCATCAACATACCTCCATATCTCAGACCACTCTCAGGGTACCTTATGCTGTCTAGAAGTCTGTTATGTCCATGTGTCCCAGGTGCATTTCATCTTCTCTGTGAACAGATCAACTAGTTTGTCATTAACCTACTTCAGTCCCAAATGTTGGTGATTCAACCCTTTGTCTACTATTTGATGGAAATAAAGTATCTGTTTAGACTCAGAAGAAATCAGTTGTATTGTTTTGGATAGGATGATAGTGGCTCCCAGACAATGGTGTGTGTGTGTATGTGTGTGTGTGTGTGTGTGTGCACGAGCGCGCATGTGTTTTCATCTCTTATAGTCTGTAGAAGACTGCCTCCTCTTTCATATATGATATGTTGTTATTCATTCATTATTTGTGTACTGAAGAGGATGTTAAACTCTTCTGAGATCAAGATACTCTGTGGTTAGAAAGAATTTATTTCCTTTTTCCTTTAGATTGTTCTGATAACCCTTATAACATAAGAGCCACATGAGACACTTGGGGCCTGATAGAGGTCTTCCAAGGACAGTTCTTATGGCTAATGTGAAAGTGTCAGGTTTTAATGTCTGTGATTGCTACTTGTCATTGTCCCCAAGTGATACACTAGCATCCCAGAGTATCACGTTTCTCACCTCTGTGTTTGGGGACATGTTTATGCAACAGTAATGTCGTCAGGGACTGCTAGGAAGGAGAATGGGCCTTGCTCCTTTGCTCCCAGCTGCCTCATCCTGGTGGGAGATGACAGGTTGGTGTTTCTCCCATTGACCTGGGTGAGGGTGAGCCTCATGGGTATGTGGACTGCGCAGGTAGCCCCGACAGCCCATCCTCAGAACAGGGTATGCTTAATGCTCTACTATCACCATTTTGAAAGTCTTAATAATTTATACCCAGGAGACTTTGCAATCCCATTTTCCGCTGAGCACTTCAGCTTGCTTTGTTGGCCCTGTAAGTAACTTCTAACTCTTCTTGGCTACGTGGATCTGCCCTTGGCCTCCAATTCTATTCTGTCAACACAGGCAATCTGCTTTTAAATCAAAGAAGTAAGCAAATAATAACCTGTTTAAACTGCATGTTTTAAAAATTAACTTTAAAAAAGTGTTCTTTATGGAAGGATTTAACTTATTGAGTTTTATAATAAACTAAGAAGAATAAGCAAATTAATCATACAATACTATCTGTGATGTGTTTCTTGTTTGTATTCATTGTAAAATTAGTTGTGTTGATTTGTGTTCTAAGTAAAACAAGACAGTCCACAGACTACTTGGGTTTTATTTCTTTAAAGTGTCGTTTTGGAAGAATACAATGTATATGTGTTTTCTTATTCTTGTCTTGAATAATGTACTGATTTTTTTTTTGTCAAATACTGGGAAATGTAGCTTAATGTCACAGGAACCAAGCCCTTAGCATTATGGGTAAGTTCAGCTACTGACAAGTTCAGGGTTTCCCTCAGTCTGCAAGAGTGGATCTGTCAGCACGCACGATTCCATCACTGAGGCACGGAACACAGTTTTCACTGCTTGGGTCCCACCCAGTATGCTGAGCTCTAACTGCTTTTGCTGGGTTTCTTTTGTGATTTCTGGGTAAATGGGATTTTTCTTTCTTTTAAGTCCCTGGGGAATGGATGAATGTTTGCTCACTGGCTTTTAAAGCTTGGCCCCAAAACTTTTCTCTTTATATATTTTGAAGGAAAAAAATTCAAAGGGCCGGTGTTTCTTTGTTCTCATCCAAGCCCACAATTAGCTGAAGTTCCTTCTGTGTAGCTAGGAGGAGGAGGAGGAAGGGGCGCCCAACAGACCTTTTACTGCCTATGAGAAAGCAATCAGGCAATTCCTTTGTCCTTTCTGTCAGGGAAGGCTGCCTCCCTAATTGTACTGCTGTGGGGAAGCACGCGCCTTTGGGAGCATTATCTGATCCCTACAGGACCGTCAGGAGTGCTTTGTATACTGACCCTTGGCTTGAACACAAATATCTTTTCAGTCCCCTTTGCAAGCTGTTGCCTCAGGCTTGGATACCTGAGAGCTTTAGTTCACCCAGGGGTGTGGACACATTTGTACCAACCTCAGCCTTAAGGTTTTCTTTTCTTTTCCTTCCTTGTTTTACTTGCAATTTTGTTCCACCTGTGGGGACCCAGAAGACGGAGGATGGAGATGGCTAGGATCTATAGAAGTTGGAGGGGAGAGAGAACGCGAAGAGCAGCTGCTCTTGTCAGCACGGGGATAAGCGTAAAGAGATTAATAGTTATTTGCAGAGCAAATGGGGAGGTGGCACTCAGCAGTGGAATGCGAATGTATGAGTGCGATGGAATGGGCGTGCGACTGTTAACATTTAGACAGAGGCTCTCTGGACTGAGTGGAATGGCCCAGTCCATGTCTCCTTTCCAAATGAAAGAATGAGTGTTGAATAAAAGAATCTCATTGTTCTTGAAGTTTAAAACAGAAAGAGATGTTGAGGCCCCTCTTCCTTTGGGCTTTGGTTCTTCACGGTTTGCCTGAGTCTCGGTTGCTCAGTTACATTTCAATTGAAGCCTCTTCATTTCCTTCATAAAATATAGAGCTCTTTTTGGGTATTTAAGTTAAAAAAAGATGCCCGTGCTGTCTTTCTTAGGTTAAATTAAAGCAGGCAGGCAGGCAGGCAGGCAGGAAGAAAGAAAGGAAGGAAGGAAGGAAGGAAGGAAGGAAGGAAGGAAGGAAGGAAGGAAGGAAGGAAGGAAGGAAGAAAAGAAAGAGAAAGAAAAAAAAGAAAGAAATTTTCCATATTTCAGAAGGTTTCCCAAAGGGAAAACTGAGCCACAGTGGATTACACCTTCTGGAAAGGTGTTTGCTTCAGGGTTAAGAGCTACCTGAGGCTACCTCAGCTGACCAACCTGCTGGTGTGGTTGCCCGGATGGAGCCCTGGACTTAGAACCAAAAGATTGAATTTCAAAGTGTGTACTCCATTTATTAGCAAGGGTTTGGACAACTTGCTTCCTTTCTCCAGTAGTAAAACAGAAAAATTGTTTTTTAGGTAAAATGGGAAGACACAACTCGTTATTTCCATGAACATTTTATGAAAATAAAATGAGTACTTATTCTGTGCCCAGATCCACTGACACAGAGGACATGAAATCGTCTGTCAAATGGGGCTGCATGAACTAATGTACTTTTGAAATGCATCAGACACAGAATTTTATTTACAATAAGATATTTCATCTGTTTACACATATTCTACTGTAGGAAAAAAATTAATCATGAGAAAGAAAATGACAGAGCAATTTCAAAGAAAAAGCAATTTGGCTAATAGACTGCCATGTTATCTTTTAAATATATAATTGAGGCTGGCAGTGTTGGCGTGTGACTGACTCCAACTACTGAAGAGGCTGAGGCAGGAGGATTAGTGAAGCTCGGGAATTCTGTACTAGCTTAGGCAGCACAAGACCCGCCCTCAGTCATTCAGTGTTGTCTGGCTCACACAGCAACCCATTCCCCTCCAGTCTTTATAGAACTAGTCCCTGGGATGGCACTGCTGGGATTGCGGCACTAAGTGTAGAATTATAAGATTGAGAAGAATCATGATGAACAGTTTGTTTTTCCCAGGTACTCAACAATTTCATGTTTAACCCCCCCCCCTTTAATCTATCCAATGGCCTTTCTCTCTCTGCGTACTGTAACACAGCATTTTTGATTTCTGTTAATTCTTACTGAGCCACTACACAGAGCTTTTTGCCTTGTGTGTGCATAAGCCTGCACTCCACTTTCACACGCAATGATTCCAGTCAACAAAGCCTCTGAAAGTTGTGTGATCTGCGAAGGTCATCTCAAAGCCCTCCCTAGACTTCTCAAGGTCTTTCCAGGCACCACAATTTGCTGATTTCCCTTTGCGTCTGACGTGTTTCACACCTGGAGAACGCATGCACCAAAAGCTACCTATTTTGAAGCAATGGTCTGAGGGGTAAAGGACTCATATGGCATTTTCTGGGTGTCCTTGCAGCCACAGTACACAAACCTGGGGCTCCTGAACAGCATGGACCAGCAGATTCAGAACGGCTCTTCGTCCACCAGCCCGTACAACACAGACCACGCACAGAACAGCGTCACGGCGCCCTCGCCCTATGCGCAGCCGAGCTCCACCTTCGATGCCCTGTCACCGTCGCCTGCGATCCCCTCCAACACTGACTACCCGGGCCCACACAGCTTCGACGTGTCTTTCCAGCAATCCAGCACCGCCAAGTCAGCCACCTGGACGGTAAGGGCAAAGGCGCACGTGGCCCACGAGCCTCCCTTCCCACCAGCGCCCAGCTGTGTCTCTCCCTTCAGGGGTACAAACCCTTGGCTCTGCGATGGGAATTTTGCCCTTGAATAATTAACACCATACCAAGTCAGAGAGAAAATGCCATTGAAAAAGCAAAGCCCTGCCAAACCCGAGAAACAAATGGCTACCTACTAGCCAACCGACAGCAGTTTCATTCAGTGCGTTTCTGCCTGCTTCACGCTCCCCTGAGGTCATTTGCTTGGAATGTTTTCAGAAAAAAATAACACATAATGTCATAAGAAGTAACAGAATCACAAGAAATGTGACATGATAGGCAGGACTTATCAGTCTCTTATTTGTGAAGATGGCAATGTCAAATTTAAAAGTAATTTTTAAAAATTAAGATGAATTAAGGGAAGTAAAATTTCACTTACTAAATACTTGTATATCTATACCCCCAAATTCTATAATGTGAATCATAGCCTACGGAAATGTATAAGTTTATTAAATTTAGAAACATTTTTGTTCACTCATCCCCCAAACAAAAACTTTAGAACTACCTACCAGACTACCTACTGGAGCCTAAGTTAGTCAAAGGAGATTCGAATTTAAATTGTCAGGGAAAACGTCTTTGTCTATGTAAGTTTTCTAAAAGTGAAAAATTCTTTTAAAAACTGAAAAAAGACTCTTTCACAGTGATGATAACATAAATAAAACTCAAACATAAGCAGAAAGACCTACAAAGCTATTATTGCCTGTTTGGTCAAAGAATCTCAAAGACCAAAATGACATGTCTATTTATCAAATAATTTAATGTCTGCATGGGTTACAGAAATACTTTTAAATAACATTGTCCTATAGAAAATATAGTCAAAGAATTGTTCTTTTTCTTTCTTTCTTTTTTTTTTTTTTTTTGGTGGAACCAGGGATTGAACTCAGGCCTTTGCACTTGCCAGGGAAGCGCTTATTCCACTGAGCCATCTCCCCTGCCCCAGTCAAAGAATTGTTCTAACAGTTCTTTTCCTCTTTGATAGAAATAATTTTTGGAAATCACTTCTATATTTACGTATAGTATCTAGTTCATTATAATTTTTAATCCAGTTGCATGAATTTAATAAACTAGATTTTTAACAGTTATTTCTTTATAACTGTACATCTGTTCCTTCATTTTGATCTTATGTCTCGGTGATGAATAATGTTTATAACTCCTACTGTGATGATAAGAAAAAATGAAGAACTTGAAGATATTGAAGAGACAGCCTGAAACTTACACGGGCCTTTGTGTAGCTAGAGATATTTCTGATTCCTGCGTTCCCCCACTGGGTTGTACACTTTCTGTCTTTTTGGACATTTACATCAGAATATCTGAAAATTGTCTAAAAAGTTATTTTATTTTAGTATTTTCCTCTCATGGCTTGACAATTCTGTCATGGCCTGTCCATCATCCAACCACTAAGTATGAACACAAACTTCAAACTTTATGCTTCTCTTATGTGCTGCTTATGGGCTGCGCCATATTATTCAGTTTCATTTGTGTTTATCATCATGGATATGGATAACAGAGGTGAGTACCCTTAAGAGTTGATAGGCTTTCCACATCTGGCTCACTGATCTAATTAATATTTCCTGCAGCTCCACCAGAATAGCTGTTTCATAAGGGAGACATGTGTGTCTTACGACGTCATCACCATTGAACATTTACACTCACTTGGCTTCAAGACTAACTGTTACTTGTTTGTTGACTAAGTCAGCACTATGGTGAATGTCTGAGGCCGCTAAATGCATAATCACATCCCTTGCAAAATCATTTAAGGCCCGTGAGGATGCTGTTTGACTTAAAGCCAGCATCACATAAGCCTTCCTCCCTCACCCCTTCTTTCCTATCTCTTCATGCAGATACCTTAAAGTCTTTGATACAGATTTGGCACAACCCCAAACCACCTTCACTCAAAACTGTTCTCTGAGACATACGCTGTCTCTTGAAAAGATTTGGGTATTTCTAGCCAAATGGTAGATTAGAGAGAAGAGAACAGATTCTGCTTTATGCAGCACACTGGTGGAATTTCCTTACATATACCAGCAGTAAAATCAGTATCCTGAAAATAAATAAATAAATAAATACACCAGTACTTAGGTGATAGAAAAAAAAGAAAAAGTACTGGGTGAGAACAGAAACTTGGGATTATCATCCTGGGCATCTGTGAGACCTTAACAAAGTCATATCAGCTTCCCAGAATTCCGGATATGTCTCAGAGGAGAATGTACTAAAGGTGAGACGACAGTATTAATAAGTGCCAAACACCAACGGAAGGCATTAGCCCTAATCAAGCTCTTTGTCCCTCATGAGGGAGCATTGCTCAGTGGCTTTGTGGCTTCTGGATTTCTCTTCCATTGTCTCCTGTCTATGCTGTAGATTTGAAAGAAATAATAGTCACTTCCTATGGCATCTAATCACATGGCATCTAAGTTTGTACAAGCAGCCTTACTCTAGGCCCGATGGAGTTCTTCTACACGAGAGCCCCTGAGCCCTTATCTTAGCTGCTAAGATGATCTAATATGCTGTTATATTCCTAGTAATAGATGACTGTATCTTATACATAACAGCATCTAATTCTTAGATCTAATTTATATAAACTTATATTTATACATGAGCTTCACATTTTAAAAAGTGTCTTCTACTCTATCATAGTTGAGCCTAAAGACCAGGTCTGTTGTTCACTGTTTTATAAATAAAGAAACTGTAAGTGAAAGTTGCAAGGGTAATCACCAGTCAAGGAGAAAGAGAAGCCCAAGGCTCCTCATTCCGCTCCACCTTCTCCACCCTCCTGTCTAGACTGTCTCGTTTTTTCCTGATTGATGGATAATAAGGATGGCCTGATGCAGCAGGCTCTGTATATTGCGGAGTTGGCCTCTCCAGTCCCAACTGATGGAGGATGTTTTTTGTGCTGTACTATACAACACCTATTACAGGCATCTGCGATGAAAACAGTTTTTTCCAAGTAAAAGGTTCCAGTTTAGAAGTGCCTCCAAACTAGAAGCAGCAGAAGCAGCTGTCATTAAGAGGAAGGCCAGGCATATTGCAAAGCCTTTTGGTAATTCTTTGATAAAAATTGCCTTAGTACCATTTTATCACTTGTCAACCTTTCCTGCTGAGATTTTCTTTGTGTTTGTCTGGTTTTACTCTCAGAATCACTGTCAGGATATAACTAGCATAGTTGAAGAAGTATATACACTTTTCCTATGTTTTAAATAATGAATGTGACTGTGGTTTCAGTTCTATAAAAATACACTGTTTATTTCAAACGTTTTCCAACAAAATACAGTGAAGGGTGATGACATTTTTCTTCTGTATTCTCTATTTTATGCACACCCTGCTCCAAACAATACTCAAAATATGCTTCCAGACTCGCTTATTTCCACAATGTCATGGACACTAGTTATAGAGGCCCTAATTTAATATATTGTACTGCTGGTCTGGAATTCTTGCTGGAAGTCATCAGCCATAGGACAGTTGAAAGAATGGTAGTTTAGAGATGATAAGAAGCATATGCGGGGCCGGGGAGATGGCTCAGTAGGATAAGCGCTTGACTGGCAAGGATCTAAGTTCAATCCCTGGTTCCGCAACAAAAACAAAACAAAACAAAACAAAAAAACAAAAAAAAACAAAAAAAAAAAAAAAAGATGTAGCATACGTGTCGATTTCAGTTCTTAAATTTATGAACAGTGCATGGTCTTTGGCCCCACAGTTAGTCTCGCAGACCTTCCTTTCCTCACCTGCAGATGAGGATGTGGGTGCCTTCCTTCTCGTTGGGACTCCACAGCAAGCATAGTAAATCTCAGTGCTGGAGACATGTTGCTCCTGAGTGTGCACTCAGTTTGCATCTGAATCGCCTTGCTTCATGAGGTTTAGTTTAGTGGGGTGTTCCGTTTCACAACAGTCGGGATTTGAGAGGATATGCAGTAAAGTGCCTACCATTTTTTTTCCTTGGTGATTTTGGGCTCTTCATATGCATATTCCAGCCCCGACGGGCTACCTGCTTGCTTACCCTCCACCCAAGTAGATGGAGCAGATGCCACAGGATAACAGGCTTTCCTAAATGTGGACCTGCGGCTGGCTGCGCTGCATTCTGAGCCTGTCCAAGACTTGCAGGCACTCCTGGCCAGCACAGGGAGGGTCCTTTCCAGAGCCCCAAACCCGGCAACTTTAGACATTTCTTCTTCACTTCCAATTTGGTCCCTCTGTTAGGGTGATGACTTTTTGTATTCCTTGGATTAAATAAAGGATAGAAAATGGAAAAGTCTGCATATCTATTCGCAGTGACAAGCTAGAAGAAGCAACCTAAACATGCCAGTGGGGAACAAGTTCAATAAATTCCAATACACCCATATATAAAAATGTTATATGACCACTAAAATAACCATCTGTACTGATATGAAATGCTTTGGGAGGTTTCTGAGAGGAAAGTGTCACTACTTGCATATGGAGAGGACTTAATAAAGCCACTTCTGAGGCAGTGTATCCTATTTTCTGGACCCCAGTGACCTGCCTTGTTTTGGCCTCACTTACGTTTACTAGTTTGAGAACTGTTTTTGGCCTTGAGAGTCTTTTTGTGTGAGTATATTTGTTTGATTTGTTACCTAGGGCACCCAGCAATCTCTGGGTACACACACTGTGAAAGTCTTCAGGCAATTTTATTTATGCACAATGAATATGTGAATATTTCTTTTTAATTGTGCCTACGCAATGACGCTGCTCATGAATGGAAGATTCCTGTTTGCTATTTTGTGTCTCTCTTATTAGACTCCATAGTCTTCTATGATAAATACCCTAACCTAGGGCCCAGAACAATATTAGGCATACAGAAGGATCTTCATGCAGATTAAGGGAGATTTTTTTTCCTCACAGTTAAAGGAAATTGTTGTAGCTCTCAGCCGCATGTCTCCATTCTGACCCTGATTGTTAACTGTCCGTAACTTGGGTCCCTTCTGCCTCC